TTCCGCCCTGGAGCCTCCTGGCTTCCCAGCGGCAAGGCCTCAGCCGCCAGCACGGTGGGGTAAGTTCTGCCTCTGGTGGTGCAAACCCAGAGGGGCTCCGGTGCTGGCCAGAGGCCGTGCCCTGCGCAGGGCGGGGCAGGACGGGCACAGGGAGGCAGGGCCCAGCAGGGCAGAATGTCCGTGTCGTGGAGCCGGCGCAGGGCTCCACGGCCTTGCCCCAGGGATAGGCTTGGCCTGGAAGTCTCTGGCGAGACGTTGGCCCAGGCTGGAAAATTGCCTGTGGCTTTCAGTCAACACCTTGGCGGAGCCAGGCCCGGTTTAATGAGGCTCCCCGCCTGCTCCTTGTACCTGTGAATTACACCTGCAAATGCCTATCCCCAGCGCGGCCCCACCTGCTGCTCAGCCTTGTGTGCGAGTGTGTGCACATGTGTGTGCACGTGTACATGTGTGTGCGTGTTCACAGCTGGGGGGAGGCTGAAACATGCTGCCATGCAAGAGAAGGGAGTGCTCAAAGGTGAATGCCTATGTTTGGGAGTGTGCACGCATGGTCACGTGTGAGTGAGTGTGCATGTGTGTCCACATGTGCATGCGTGTCTGCACATTCGTGTGTGTGTGTGTGTGCATGTTCACACGTGGCTGTGTGTGCATGCTCCTATGCATGTTCACACGAGTGTGCATGTTCACGTGTGGGTTCACACGAGTGTGCGTGTGCAGGTTCACATGTGCGTGTTCACACGACTGCGTGTGCATGTGCCCAGGTGAGCGTTATGGGCGGTGGGGTGCCCACGCTTAGGTGCTAGCACAAACCCGAAAGAACAGCGCCTCTGTGCAGCCCAAGCCCCCTTCCCGGGGCTCGGGTGCCGCGGACACGGCTGTGTGGGGCCGGCGAGCGCTCGCTCTGGGTCTGCTGCCCCCGATGGCGCAGAGACTGGCTGAGGCAGGGAGCCTGGCAGCTGCATGTGACCCTACAGGCGTTGGGGCTGTGGGCAGAGACGCCCTGGGAAACAGCTCAGCCCCCTCTCTCCAGCAGTTCCCTGACGTAATCCCTTGGGTGGGACACAAAGGGGAGGAGCATGGGAGGGTGTGGCCAGAAAGGGGCGTGGCAATGAAGTGGGCGTGGCAGGAGCAGGGAAGAGGCGTGGCTCTGCTGTGCTGCCCCATGGCCCCTCCCTGCCCCAGGCTCCCCCAGCACCCTGCCCTTCTCCCTGTGCCAAAGGGGGAGGGGTTACAAGCTTCCGGGGCTAGACACCCTGCGGGGGCATCGGGCGGTGCTTTAGCAAGGCTGGGCTGGGGTCCCTTGGGGATCAGGGGGCTGGAGTTTCCCGATGATCTGGGTCTGGTTTACAAAGTAACGTGCGGCTTGCGGCTTCCCACAGCCTGGCCTGGCCCCCAGGCAGGGCAGGATGTGAGGGGCAGGGGCTGGAAATACGGCAGGGCTGGGCTGAGGAGTGGAGCCAGGGATTTGGGGAGC